CCTTGTTGAAGAGTCTGGATATCCAATGGGGGACGAGGGGGTCTTCATCTCAAATTTTCCCAGTGGGTAGCTTGAGAGATTTTCAAAAAATGGCAAAAATTAGGTGTTTTAGTGATATCCAAGAAAAAGCGATATCTAAAGGGGTTAGTAAGGTATCCTATGGGGTTACATACACAAATTGCATTCAAGGGGGTTTTATATCCTAAGGGGATTATGAAGGGCGTATATTAAATGGATGGCCCAATTTACTACTTGGTACCCACAAATCATTATCCGGAATGGTAATGGTTTCGTCTGAAAACTTTGCTGTTGCTATCTTCAATAATTTCAGTTATTTTAGTTAATGTTTTCGTTCGTGCAACATCAGAAAATCTATAGAGAATGTACGAATTTAAAATTGCAGGGGAACGATATTTTCAGGAATGACATTTCGACCCCCGAAAAAATCCAGGGCGATCGTCAACGTCGCAAGCGAAGCAACCAAATTCAAATGCCTTTTCCATCCCGTGTAACCAGGCCGATAATTGCAAATATCATCGGGATGTAAATGCGCCAAAGCAATTCGACTTATCGTATGTGTTAAGCAGCTACAAATCATTCTTTCTAATTGCCTATGCTGTTGCGGTGCAAGGTTGTTAATAACGCCGTGAATGTGCCAACCAACCAACGTACTCGTAATCCTATCCAGTTCGTTGCAGATCTCCCTAGCTGACAATGGTTGCCCGTTTATTACGAGAAAACCATTGTCTCTTACAGCAATGCCTTCGTCTAGTAAATTCCACATTTCTACTAAATTCCACAGCTCCCTTCGGGAATTTCTTCTCACCAGTGGCGTGCTGGCAGGGGGGGCCGGGGGGCCACGGCCCCCCCAGCTGGCAATTCTTGGGGGGCGCAAAAATGAAAAGTGGGCGCCGATCCCGCCCTGAATTTTGAAAGTGGGTGGAAAAAAACGCGAAATTCGAAAAAATATAGTTACTTTCGCCAAGAAACTGAAGAGATGTGTTTATAGGCTTATAAACAGACTAAGAATATAGGCGACAAAGCGATATATTAAATTATATTGTCTAACCGTATTTGCTAATTTGCTACCTCACGGCTCACACGAAATCGTTCATATAGAAACATGATCAGTGATCACACGCAATGTCTCATTACCGGAATATTGGTCAGGTTTCGAAGCGATCACGGGAATTATGCCCTTTTTCCTGACACTGTTATGTCCTTATATTACGCTCTTTATCATGCTTCACGAACCACGAGAGAGGCGCAAATTAGATTATTGAAGTTATGATAATGTAAAGTTGTGTACGCAATTTAGTTGTTTGCGCAAGAAACATCATGAGTAATGTAAGTAATGAAATAATGCTGAAACGTGCCCTTTTGGCAGCCAGGCAAGGAAACCTTAAAATGCATATGCGTGGGGTCCGTGTGTTGTTATATAAAAGAGCTGTAAGTTGTCGTAAATGTATTCAGATCACTAGATCAGTAGAGAATAGAATTGGGGTTAGATTAATAGCTGGAAGTAGTTAGCATTGCCCAATTTAAGTACTACTACTAAATTTTAACCAAATTGCAAATTTCGACACGTTATAATGCCGTTTCCTGACCATCAGATTCTGTCAAATCTTCCCCCAAAGTCCAGGAAATGGCATTTCAGAGACTCTAAATTCAATTGCCTTCGGCCCTCGTTTATCAAGCGTAAAATTATAGGGGCGCAGATTGGTTGACAGCCAACTGGCCCCCCCAGCAAAATAGTACCCAGCACGCCACTGCTTCTCACGCATCTGAGATGTGAAATATATTTTGGGAACCGATTTTCGTCGATAACTTTTTGAAGACCCGGACGCTGGCCATTATCATTTCCTATTGGAGCAGGAATTATACCAAGATCTTGCCAAATTGGGGGAGAACATCGTCGCTTATCCATGTATCCTTCTGCCGTTATGGAATATGATATGTATCGGGAAACAACGTATCCTTTGTTTGTGATTCGATTAAGATCAGCATCTTGTCCTGCAAGTAAGACTGGGAATATCTGAACTGCTTTGGAGGAAATTATTTCTTTAGTTTCTTCTGGACTGAGGCCACGTTTCATCATACTTGTAGGATGATTCAGTTGCAGTTGCGGGTTTACCATTTTACCAGTAACTCTTCTTTCTCTCGCAAGTTAAAACCATGTCAAGTCCGTTCTGCGCATCATCTGCTCATAACAAATGGACCCCCACTGAGATATAAACATTGCCCAAATTTTGCATTTTTCTAACTTTTTTGAATTGAAACGTACTCTAGTTTATATTCATTTACAATTAGGAACCAGAAAAGTGTTAGATATAGCAGTTCAAAATGTAAAGAAAGTAGTAAATACACGCCCATTCTGGACCGCGTCATCTGTGGCGTCATCGGAATTTATCTCCCGGAAGAATTACCCTACCCGAATTCCGGGCAGGACAACATTTTTTCCCCATCCCCCTCAGGATGGCAGAAATTTCCAGGGGCGGCACTAGAGGCCCCTCCCAGTCGCCGAGTAGTTGGTAAATTATTCTATCCGACTCGGCCAATTGTTTTCCAAGTCAACAAAACATTAAGCTGATTAAGGGGATTGAAAGAGAGATCGCGATATTATGTCTGGAAAAAATGTTTACCCTCAAACAAAAATTCAGTATTCGATCAAAGCTCGTCAAATGTAAATGAGGTATTTCCAATCGAAAACAATTTAAAGGTAGTATATATTCACCTAGCAGCTATATTTCGATTTCTAGTCCTTATACAGAAATCATGAAGTGAATCCAAATGTGAGATGGTTAGCAGTGGTCTGTCTCAAAAATGATGTGGATAAATATTGGAGAAAATCTGCTCCCAAGTAAGACCTTGTTATAGAAGTACATCTTAACTAGACACATGGGCAGATAATTCTGAAAGACCTATATATGTCTGGTACCAAATATCACAAGCATTGTTTAGGAGCAAATGGCAAGCATGCAATCATTATAGCAAGCAATATGTGATTCTGTACAATACACGCCAAGGCCAAATAAAAATAATAGTTGGTTTCCGACCGACCTGTCAAAAATATGACCGACCATAAACATTTTATTGTCAGTTCCCAGTAGAGATCATCTTTTCGTAAATAGAAGAATATATACATTTGTCTACAAATTATTTTGTTTGCTCATAATTTAATCATCTAGTCATGTTAATCATAGTTTTACATAAAAAGACGAAAACGCCTTGATTATTCTGTGGTCTTGATTATTCTGTGGCCTTGATTATTCTGTGGCCTTGATTATTCTGTGGCCTTGATTATTCTGTGGCCTTGATGTGTTTGTTTCTCGCGAAACACAATCTCGGGTGATCCCGCGTGGCACATCTGATTATGTGTGACAGTTACTCATAAACAACTTATATTTACCGCATACTTGAGACAAGGAATAAAGAAGTTACAGCAGAAGCGTAACTCAAGCAAATATTTGTCCACGTTTTTACAAGCGATTCGTCATCAATCACACCATCCTGGCTAGTACAACCGGCACTTTGTACCTACCAGAACCTGATAAAAACTTCCGGTTGTACTAGCCAGGATGGCGTGAGAAAGTTAAAATTTTTGTGGACGTAAAACAATAAGGGAACCGACTCGAGTGACGCTTCTGCTGTACCTTCTTATTCTGGGCTTGAGATAAAATATTTTTTAAAATAAAATGTTTTTCCGACCTACCTACCCATATAAAACATGGTTGTCAAACCTGAAATGAACTATTATTTTTATTTGGCCCAATGATGCCACAACATATATGCATTTTATACAATCTGTTTTGTTCTGTGTACGATTCCTTGAAGCTCTACTGATAAAATATTTTAAACAAGAATTGATAGTTATAACTGTAGATTAAACAACAATGCTAGTCGACATGCTTAATTGATTATCTTAGGAAAAGTATCTAATGTCAGTCAAATGTCAGTCAAGCCTGCCCGGTGTGGATTTACACTCAGAGTAACATCACAAGCATCCAGCGGCATCAGGGGCGTAGCCAAGGGGGGGCAAGGGGGGGCGACCGCCCCCCCAATCGCAAAAAAACCCATTCTCTGAAAAAGGCTAAATCCGTAGAGAAATGGGGTACGTTACATTCCCGAAGCTGAAACTGATTAAGTACGTCGCGCGACTGAGGAAAACGAGGATATATTGGAGGAACTTGATTTGTAAAATCTCGTTAATTAAAGCAGTTTTAGATATGGTTCCAAGAAGACAAGATTTAGTTTAGATTTACGTGTATGCATTATCATCGCATGAATATTCTTGTCAGACTTATTCTGTATCGTATGAAAAAGCAACGCAATTTTGAGAATGCGGAAATGCTGTCTCATAGAAACTAGAATGATTTAAATGCGATATTTCTGATCGCAATGACATTGGGATGTCCGGAAAAAATTTTCGGACGGCCCTGTCTCGCGCCTTCGGCGTTCGCTTCGCCCCCCCAAAAATGAAGGTCTGGCTACGCCACTGAGCGGCATAGCCAGCTCGGATAATTAGAAGGGTCCATATTCATATATTCGTGTTCACAGACCTTAAAAACAATAGATTTCAAAAGACATTAATAATGCAGAACACCAATATATGAATATGGACCCCCAATTATCGAGCTGGCTACACCGCTGCAAGCATCAAATGGCACAACTCGAGACTCTTTATTCATTTCATCAAGTGACCTGCATAACTGAGACCCCTTTGGCATACATGTTGAAAATCCCCGCCCAATATTTTGTGACGTGCAGTGTTTCAATTCTATTTCATGATATGAAACTAGTTTTAAATATCACTCAGGATGGTTCTGCAATAAAATTGAAACACTGTCAGTGTGGATTATAACGGTCGGCAATTGGCTATTTGCCGAACAAAAACACCAAATGGCCGATCAATTTCATTCTGCACGGACATTTTGTCCGATCAAATAAAATACACCACACTGTTCATTTAAATTGAAGGTAGTTTATGTGAAAAGTACTGTTTGAAAAGCATCTAACTATGCCTACGATACCATGCAATCAATAAATATTTGGATGAAAAAATCACTCAGAGGAAACACTGTCATTGAGCTTCTCTTTTAGCAAATACTCTCTCAAGTGACCAAACTCGATAGTTACAGTCCATAGCCGGCGGCGTTTACAATACTTACTAGCTACTTACAAAAATATGTTTCATTTCTATAAGCCGTAGGCCTAGCTATATATTAGTAAATACCTTTATTTCCTAAAGAAACACAAACAAAGTGAAGGCGCAGAGGACGTTGCTAGTTGGCGTACGCCAAGCTTTTTTCTGCATGCAAACGCGTGCAATCAATAATGGTACGTCGATCTGTAGCACTGTCACGTAAAAATGGTTGAAATAGTTGGCTGATCATTCTTGGCCAATGTCCGAGCAACAGTCTCGTTAATCGGGCATTTGTCAGAATTAAGCAAAAACGTTATAATCCACGCTGAACACTGTGCATTTTCCAAGACAAGCATTTCATCGTTGTGAAAATATGTTGTGCACGGAATGGATGATTTCAGCTACAGACTAAATTTTTATCCAGACAAGAAGGACGGAATCTATCATAGCTTAAAAGAACATTCTTAATTAAATTAGTATACTAAATTGCCAAATTTGGTTGCAAAATTTATCATAATATAGCTCAAAAGAGCATGCTAAAATTAGTGAAATTGCAAAGTTTGGTTGCAAAATGTTGTAAAATACGGAAAATATAGCCCTTTGAAATTAGCAAATTTTTTAGTATTTAGTATTACTCGCACAAAAATGCACCACCTTTGAGCCAAAGTGGTGCATTTTTGCGCATGTAATACTAAAATACTCAAAATTTGCTAATTTCACAGGGCTATATATTTTCGTATTTTACAACATTTTGCAACCAAACTTTGCAATTTCACTAATTTTAGCATGCTCTTTTGAGCTATATTATGATAAATATGGTAGATAAACAATT